CGGTCCCGGTTTTCGGTCCCATAACCGGTCCTTACCGGTCCCGGTCCCGGGCCGGTCCTTTGTCGGTCCCGGTCCCGGTCCTCCGGCGGTCCCGGGCCGGGCCGGGCCCATTTGGCCATCTCTAACCGGGACTGACCGGGATTGGGACCGGTTATGGGACCGACTATGGACCGGCCCGACCCGGTCCCAAAATTCAAATAATTTTATAAATAAATGTATTTTTAAATAATTTTATAATATATTTTTATAAGAAAACGTAATTTTAATTATATTAAAACGCATTTTTAAAGTGTATTTGAGTGACCTAATTGTAAATTTTATAATGTATTAAAAATATATATCATTAAAAAAATAAAAAATAAATCTTATTTTTTTAATGCAAGGACCGGTTGGGACCGGGACCGGTGGTCCATAACCGGTTATGAAATACTTATACCGGTCCTATCATTTTCGACCGGGACCGGTTATGGCCGGTTATGAGAAAGGTGAGGACCGATTGGGACCGGCCCGTGACCGATTTTTGGCCATCTCTACTGTAGACACTTGTTAACTCAACTCATCATTTTGTATGCAAATGAACAGTAAATGAAGTATGGTACTATTAAAATAGTATTTTAAACTTACTTTGGTTGACATGCTAAGCATGTTTCCATAAAAGGATGACACTTGGTAAGCCAAATTTGGTAGATAAGTTTACACTTCAAAATCCGACTTGCCAAAAGTAGTATTTGTCATACTATTATTTGACTTTATCTTGTATTGATTTTTTTTTGGCAAGGTGACAGTTCAATCCACTTTGGTGACGATCTTGACTTTACCTCAACTTGTATTCGAATTTATTGAAGGGTTTTTGTTTTTGGATCAACACAAATGGTTACAAGACTTTTGTATTGAAAACCCTATAATATTTATTCTACAATATAAGCTATAAATCGGATTCCAGCTTAAACTATTTATGAAGTAGGAACATCAAATACTAAAATAACTTAGAATAATTTGTGGGTTCTTGAGAATCAAGATTGAATAGCCATTAAATGAATCAAACTGATTCTTCCATTTGGATGGAGAATTATCAAATCTGAGATTTGATCCCAACATATTATCAAAGTTACAGATCTAAAGGTGACTAAGATCTGAAACCTTGAACCAATAAATTCCTTTGTAATGTTAGGTTCGGTGTCAGTGCTATGTGTTAGATCTAATACAAGTTGTACATCGGATATAACGGTTACAAGACAAGTATTAAGAATTATTTCTTCCAAGTATTGAATCGGATGCTAATTGTATTATCTACAAATCTGATGGTTGAGACCAAAACAACTGTATACCAATAAAGGTTAAGAAATCCAAATAACGTCAAATCTCTCGTACGCCAAGTACGACCAGCTCAGATGCCTATGGACCCATTGGATTACAACTCAAAATTGCATAACTCCAATTTGAATGATCAACACACTCAAAAACATATAATCACAAATAAATATACAACATATGCAAAACTCGTTCAAATTTCATCACTGAACAATTTATGAAACACCTTTAAACCAAATCCAAACCAACATGACCTACAACTTACTTGACTACTCCATAAAAATCAACACAAGTCATTTAAAGCTGCATTTTACCAGTTTATGCAATTTCATAAATTAAAATAGGAATATATCACAGTACTCCGATTTCTTGGAATAAACCTTCAAAAGATCATACTTTAGTGCTTTGATCTGTCCATGCCTGGAAAATCTAAATATAAATATTTTCAAGGTTTAATGAAATCAAATGTACCAAGGGTACATACATACCAAATAATTACCAACATTTAATAAAATCTCAAGGAATACATTTGAAAGCTTCGAAAAGACAATTTTTTACATGAACACAGTTTTCACAAAATAACTTGAAACTCGCCTTGCTAGTTAAGTTAAATCTAATATTCAAACCCAACTCGTGCTTCCAAAAATGAAGATTTGAGATCCACAAGCAAAGTTATCCCAAGAAAATTCTCAAAACCACAGTCTTAACCTAACAATGCACTGAATATAATGAGATGCTTCATATATATAACGATCCCCAAACTAGAGCACAAAATAACCGATGAGCTTACGTATTTGAGGGTTTGAGTCCTTCCAACCAAAAACTCTACGATTAAAGTCTCCAAACGAAAGCTTTCAATTCATCCCTTCTTTTCCTCGCAAAAGCTCCAACAGGTTGCCCCCAAAGTGGCAAAAATTGAGAGAGAAGTAGAGAGGATGAAACCAAAATGATAAAACCCTAGAAAAATGATTTCAACACTTATCAGGTGCGAGTTGTGACCCTGGTCAGGACCTAAGTCATGGGTGAAATAACCCTTGCCACCAAGTCGTGCCCCTTTCCTTTCTATGCGACCTCAATACCACAGGTCGTGGACCAGGTCGCATAACTCTCGGATTTGGTTTTTTCAGCGTGCTACATTACTCTGGTGGGTTATTGGCCACAATCAAGTCACGTTTCAAGTCGCGAGAACCCTCGGATGTTTGAAAA